ACACACACACACACACACACACAGAGAGAGAGAGAGAGAGAGAGAGAGAGAGAGAGAGAGAGAGAGAGAGAGAGAGAGAGAGAGAGAGAGATGACCGGAAACCTCCTTCCTAACAGAATGCCCGGTCCTACTGAGTGCGGCGTCTAGGGCAGTTGCCCTGAGCACAGTCATAGGTGGAGGGATGATGCGTAAAAGCCAAGCCAAGGCTTGGGAAACTTTGTGGCCCTGCCAAGCAGGACATCGGCGACTTCCCCGTGCTGCGCCGATTGCCCTAAAGCCTGGACCATGGCTTTACCTCTTCACTACTTTCTCCTTCCTTGCTGATCATGTGTTTTTCACCTTGCCTTTTTCCTGAAAGAGGATCTTCAGGATTTGAAAATTTTCACCTATGATGTCAAGGTCACAAGGAATGCGAACTGGGATTTTCATGCTGGTCGCATGGCACAAAGTTCACAACCAACATCCCCTCACTGCAACCCCCTTTACGGTAAACCTTCTCACTCTTCCTCTCAACACCGCTATGGGTGACAAACTAGTAGATTTGATGTGGCTAGAACTTAAACATCTCTCTTTTTTTTTTTTTTTTTTTTCATGACTCGAATACAGGTCTCTACGATGCAGGGCACTGGTTCAAAAAGCGACTACGCTGTGTGGCAGCTGCAGCCTGCAGCCTGTGCAGAACAATTCAAGCGGCAAATACATGGCATTAATTAGATTAGAGTCCTACTCGATGGCAAAAGGACGCTATTTCGGCTCTTGGGGTTACATATATATGTTGACAAACTACATATTCTGCTCGTCATCCATCGTTGGGAACAACACTAACACTCTTACCATTCATCCCCAACTAATGATTCACTTCGCCATCCTCTTTATCACTCCATGGCAAGACAACCACCCTTTCACTTTATTGTCTAGACACTGGAATATATACACAACCCCCGTCTTTATCTGATCTGCATGTTGATGACTCCATGACTTCTGAATCATTCAAGCATGCTCCTACTCCTCGTGAAGGGTTTTCGGTTCCTGGCCACCCTATTACCCCTTGGAGCTTCCATAGCGATATTCTACAATGACCACTGCCCTCTGTCAAAACATTTGCATCGCTCGAAACAATTCCATCTCTCGTAAAGCGAGGCTGCCACAAATCCTCCCTCCACAGCTCGCCCCACAACACTAATTCATAACCCCGTACAGCCTTTTCAATTGCCACCACCCCAGATGCACTCTCTATATGTCGTGCACTCAACTTTGCACACACATGCTTTCACAAACAGCCAACCCAGAATTCGTATCAGGTAACCTCTCTCAAGCCATATGCCCTCCTCACACTCTCGCTTGCTGCGACGACTCTTTTTTTTTTTTTTTTTTTTGACTTGACTTGCTGCGATGACTGTAAACAAACTTATCAAATGTTGAGATCACACACCAAACATTCGATTTTACCTGGCAGGGGCACCCATTGGACATCACACCATGGGAGTGCATATCCATGGTCTGCAATACGCACGCCACGGGTACCCCTCCATGTATTGGACATCACACCATGGGAGTGCATATCCGTGGTCTGCAATATGCACGCCACGGGTACCCATCCATGTACCTGATAGGGGTCCGCGACTCCGCGCTTCGATTTTATTAAGATTGTGCACATGCATCGGGTTGCTCGCACCACACAGTTATGGGGCGTCCTTCAGCTATCGGTGGTCGTTAAATTATATCTGTCGATTGCTCTTGCCAAGGAAGTACGTGTCTGTGACAACATTGTGCCACCTGCCTGTTCATGTCCAGTTTCTATAGTTTTACAGAAAGTGACAAGCAAAAAAAAAAATGAAAAAAACAAGGTCTCCTCTATGGACTGCCAGTTGACTGCCGCTTCAAAAAAAAAAAAAAGAAAAAAAAAAAGAAAAAAAAAAAGAAAAAAAAGAAAAAGCATTCGGAAGACAGTAACAATTGCCCTTGCCGTCAAACATTTTTCTGCTGTATTCTAGGCTACCAGAGTGGCCCGGGGTGGGGCATGCTGCCCGGCAGACAAAAAAAAAATAAAAATAATAATAGTTTTCATTTTTTTGAAGTTTTTCTTCTAAATTTGGTAAATTTGGTAAAAAATCCTATCTCACCTTGAGGTAATAGTTTTTCAGTTTACTTTTTTGCATCACATAGTTTTTTTTTTTCAGATTTATAAACATATTTGTGGATTCTTTTTCTTTTTGCTTGGCCCTTACCTGGTGCTGGCAACCTACCCAGCGGACAAAAAAAAAAAAAAAAAAATCAAACAAAATGAAATAAAAAATCTTTTTTTTTTTCTAAATTTGGTAAAAATTCCTATATAAGCTTCCTTGAGGTAATAGTTTTTCAGTTTAGTTTTTTGCATCACACAGTTTTTTTCAGATTTTTAAACATATTTTGGATTCTTTTTTCTTTTTGCTGGGCCCTTACCCGGTGCTGGCACAGCCCAGCCGCCCGGTGAAATAAATTGCCCCAGGCGACAGGGATGGTAGCCCAGGCTGTATAGACATAGTGGGGGGGTATGGTGCCAGAGTAGACTTTTTTTTTTTTTTTTTTTTTGGGACAAAAGCTCCAATCTATTCGTTCGGAGCAGCACGTGCTGGGAACCGGGCCCAGCGTCCCATATAGATTTACACAAGTTATTTGAGATACCAGGGCCATTACCCGGCTTCGGCTGAGAATCAATCTGAGAACTATTGAAGAGACTCAAGAGAATTAAAGGAGAGGATGAAAAACTATGAATGACTATTGACCTCTTTTCGAATGCTTAGAGTAGACTACCCTTACTATACAAGATACACATTTGCGGGCTCTCGTCTCTAAAGGCTCCAAGTACCACCTTTCAGTGCTTTCACGGATGAGATGAAGTCACCGAAACCCACTCTGAACAAGTGTGCCAAGCTCACAGCAACCATGAGACGCTCAATTATAACGAGTTTATAATTGCTGACAGTCTCTCTCAATTATGCAGATGGCATATAACAATTCTTTCAAGATGCAACTGAATTTTTGTAGCTCAACATACTAGACATCTACTCAAGCCTGTCCATCCATCTATGGGACGCTGGACCCATTT